TCGCCACATTAGACGAACCAGCTAATTTGGAGGATTTAATCCGTTTGACTATCAGGTTGGATAACAGACTTCGGACTAGAGATCTCTCAAGGCAGAGAAACCTGAATTCTTTTGTTTGTACTCCTGCATTTGATAATGCTTCTGTTTTTTCTGGTTCCCCAGAACCCAGTACCAAGCCAAGGTCTAAGAATCAGATTCGCCCAGCTCCTGTCCAAATCTCTCATTCTTCTTCTTCTGAGGGAGCGGAGGCCGAACCCATGCAAATTGGACACACCAGGCTATCTCCTGAAGAGAGGCAACGAAGATTCAAAGCAAAACTGTGTCTGTATTGTGGTGAGACTGGTCATTTTATTGCTTCTTGCCTGGCTAAATCAAAAGCCAGGGCCCGTCAGAGGATGTGAGGAGTCTGACGGGCCACCTAAGATCTGAAAAAACTCCTCATTTGTTGTTGCCAGCTACTCTGTTTTTTGCTAACCAGAATCTCACCTTGTCAGCATTCATCGACTCTGGCTGTGAAAGAAACCTGATTGATTCAGAACTGGTCCAGCAGTTAAAGATTGAAACTGTTCCTTTAACTAAACCTCTCCGAGTTTCAGCTATCGATGGAAAGAAGCTTCATCAAGTCACTCATCAGACACAACCTTTGGAACTGCTAATCTCTGGCAACCACTGGGAGATGCTAACATTTTTTGTTTTTCCTTCAGCTTGCTCTCCCCTGGTGCTTGGATTCGAGTGGTTGGAACGTCATAACCCCCATATCAACTGGGCTGAACGCCACATTGAATCCTGGTCAACCTCCTGTCACGAATCCTGTCTTCGTTCTGCGGCTCCTGCTATTCAGTCCCCTAGAGGTAGGGGGGAGATGGACTCTCCTGACCTTACTTCTGTTCCCCCTGAGTATCATGATCTAGCACCAGTCTTCAGTAAGGTCAGTGCGACGTCTCTTCTACCTCATAGACCATATGACTGCGCCATAGATTTATTACCTGGAGCCCCTCTTCCCAGCAGCAGGTTGTATAATATTTCCAAACCAGAGCAAGAAACTATGGAAAAATACATCAACGAATCCCTAGCTGCTGGAATAATTCGCCCTTCTTCATCCCCTCTCGGTGCTCGTTTTTTCTTTGTGGGTAAAAAGGATGGTTCCCTGCGCCCCTGTATAGACTACAGAGGTTTAAATCAGATCACCGTCAAGAATAAATATCACCTACCATTACTGGCTTCTGCGTTTGAACCTGTACAAGGTGCTACAGTGTTCACCAAACTCGATCTAAGAAACGCCTACCACCTCCTCAGAGTAAGAGAAGGGGATGAATGGAAAACGGCTTTAAAGACCCCCTTAGGGCAATTTGAGTACCTGGTGATGCCTTTTGGCCTCACAAATGCTCCTGCCTGTTTCCAAGCTCTTGTCAATGACGTCCTCAGAGATTTTTTGAACGTTTTTGTTTTTGTTTACATCAATGATATTTTGATTTACTCCAAGAACCTCTCAGACCACAAGAAACATGTTCGTTTAGTCCTTCAGAGACTTCTGGAAAATAAACTTTTTGTGAAAGCTGAGAAATGTGAATTTCATCAACAATCTGTTACTTTCCTAGGGTTTGTGCTTGAGGGCAGGCAGGTGAAGCCATCAGAAGACAAGATAAAGGCAGTTCTGGATTGGCCTACACCTGAAAACCGCAAGCAACTTCAGAGATTTCTTGGTTTCGCAAACTTTTACAGGAGGTTCATTAGAAACTATAGCCAGACAGCTCTATCTCTCACAGCTCTTACCTCTGTTAAGAGAACATTTCAATGGACCCCTGAGGCTGAAAATGCCTTCAATAAACTAAAGAAACTCTTTTCCAGTGCCTCCATCTTGGGTCAACCCGATCCTACGAAACAGTTCATCCTTGAGGTGGATGCATCTGATTCCGGTGTAGGAGCTGTTCTATCTCAGCAGTCAGATTCTGACCAGAAAACTCACCCATGTGCATTCTTTTCTCGCAGATTATCCCCAGCCGAACAAAATTACGATGTTGGTGACCGTGAACCTCTTGCCATTAAGCTCGCCCTGGCGAAATGGAGACACTGGCTCAAGGGGGCAGAGCATCCAGTACTGGTTTGGACAGACCACAAGAACCTGGCTTATATCCAATCTGCTAAGAGATTCAACCCACGGCATTCAAGATGGTCTTTGTTTTTCTCACGTTTCAATCTCTTCATTTCATACAGACCTGGTTCCAAGAACGTCAAGCCCGACTCTCTCTCTCGTCTGTATTCCTCCGATCAACCTGAGACACCCAAACCTGTTCTCCCAGCCTCATGTACAGTAGGAGCCGTTTCCTGGGAGATCACTGATTTGATCAACTCTGCCCTGGCCTCAGAACCTGACCCAGGTAATGGTCCTCCTAATAAAATGTATGTCCCGTCTTCCGTCAGATCCCGCCTCATCCAGTGGATGCACGCAGCGAAATTCTCGGCCCATCCTGGAGTGAGCAGAACCATCGCCCTNTTAAAATATGGGATTAACATCAAATCAGAGAACTGTGACTTCAACCTCCTGACTTGACAGGAATTGCAATCGTGACTTATTTCTGGAAACGTGATTTAAAAGGATGTGAGAGCTCCACCCTAACATATCATGTGAAATTTGACACATGAAATGAAAACAAATTTTTTTAAAACAATGACTGCTTCTCTTTGTGTTGGCAGCGTTCCGAGCCTAATGAGCTTTACGGTCAGCTGTGATTTTGGCAGGTGTCCCAAGGGAAAATTTTAGACACAAACAAACGGGTTACATATTTCCAAGCAATGGTTTCAATGGGCTTCTAATTGTCTTTTCTCTTCGTGTGCATTTTTCAGATTGAAATATTTGTTCTCCAAATGTCAGAACTGTCAGGGAGGGTTATCATATAGATCCTAGGATTACTCTCTAGTTCACTGAAAGAGATGGTCTTAAAATATGGGATTAACATCAAATCTGAGAACTGTGACTTCAACCTCTTGACTTGATGTGAGAGCTCCAACATAAAATACCAAGTGACTGCTTCTCTTTCTGCTGGCAGCGTTCCAAGGCTAATTATCTTTACGGTCAACTGTGATATTGGCAAGTGTCCCAAGGGAAAATTTTAGACACCAACAAACTGGTTTTATATTTCCAAGCAATGGTTTAAAACTCAACATGACGGAAATTTCATAATTTCGGTCATTATGTTCTGTCAATTGGAAATGTCTGTGGGGTAAATAAGGATCTGTGGCCACAAACTACTAATGACACAAATTACAAAATAATAAACTTATCTTCCCTGGAAAGTTACAATATAAAGGTAGATTTCTTTTACTTGCAGTGATGTGAAATGGATTTCTCCAAATAGCATGCCAAACTAGAAACATTGCAACTTCTGCATCAGTGGGAAGCCTAACCTGTGCATTCAGTGTACGCCATCGCATGAAAGAATCTACTAAAAACACTCTGGTCTTGTTTGTCTCTTCGGAGGCCTTTCTCTTATTCTAATACACTTCATAGACACTTTTTCTTTTATGACCCTCAGCCATTTTCAAGGCCATTGAAGGACAAAATAACCGTTATCTATCCCGTCACATTTAAGTCAAAACCTCCAAGAACAAAATAAACATATTCATAGTATTCACTCAATTAACTTTTGGTAGTGACACTACTTGAACATAACTT